CAGGGACGTTTCCAGCTCCATCTACCTCTTCTTCCAGCTTCAGCAGCTTATTTTATTCTAGTTTACTTCATTCTATTTCATTTCATTTTATTTTATTCTATTTTATTTTATTCTATTTTACTCTTATTCTATTTTACTCTTATTCTATTTTATTCTATTTTACTCTATTTTATTCTATTTATTCTATTTTACTCTGTTTTATTCTATTTATTTTATTCTGTTTTACTCCATTCTATTTTTTATTATTATTATTTTTATTCTATTTATGCTATTCTACTTGTTAATGCCCAGACTCCTCCAAGGCTAGGAGCACAATCAGCTGCCTGCATGCCCCGAGCAGGTCCCTCCTGCTGAGCCCGCTTCCTGCCCCATGCCACTCCTGGGCAGCTCCGTGCAGATAGCGACCTCTGTGTCCGTGCAGATAAGGGGTTTTGAGGCATTGCCGCCTTTTTTTCCCCCTTTCTTTTCATTTTTTTTTTCCCCAAATAACTAGCAGTATTTCAGAATTAGTCACTTTTGCAAATTGCATACTGTGCAGCTCTTCAGTGCTACTCTTCCAATTTCAGCTACTCTTCCACTTCTCCTCTTTGAATATGATAGAGGATACATCTCAATGCGCAGCTTCCAGTTTCCAGACATTCCTAGTGCATGTGTCATTTTGACACACTTGGTACTTTTTGATATTTTCAGTCACCTAAAAGCACAGTCTTTTAATCAGGAACCAACATACGTGGTTAATATTCAAACATAAAAAAACAAGACTGAAGTCTTTGTTCTCTGTGTTCAGGTGTCGTTTTTTTTTTAATGGAAAAAAAATCAGGTTTAGAAGTTCAAAATCCTGCTCATGACAGTGGACACAAACGTCACGTATATACAATACAGTATATATGTATATACAATAAAATGGCTTTCATGTTCTGCAGGGTATATAGCTCGTTGCCCATTAGATCTGCTTCCTTCTCCAGCTCTTTCTTAAATCAGCTGGAATATTGTCTGGGTGGACACGTTCTAGCTGCGTCTTCCTAATGATGTTATCGTCATTGATTGTTCTTTTAGGTGTGATGGGATCCCCAAAGCCATTTCCCAAGTTTCTTTCCCCTCCTGAACAAATCTTCTAATTGTGGTGGGGAGAAATGACTGAGGAATCTGTGAGAGATTTCTGCGGATCGAGCGGCTGGTTTTAATCCGGGCTGACCTCCCCTTCCTCACTCTCCCAGGCTTTCCATGGGAGCAGCATCCCCCCTTTCTACAGGACAGCAAAGGGCATCATGTCCCACATTTTTTGCCAAAATAGCAGCTATTTTCTTTCCTCAGGCAAAGGGAAACCACCACTGGGTTCTTGATCCCCTCTGGTTTCTGGTCTGTGTCTTTTGAAATTGAAAATTTCAGGGCCTGTTCCAGACCTTTTGGTCTTCCTGCCGCTTCCCAGCGCGGTGGCTCGGAGGCGGCTGCAGCCGGACTCGGTGGCAGCCGTAGGACCCGGAGCAGCAAAAATGAAGCCTGTTGCATAAGATGTTCCTTCCAGATGATGACTTGGCAGAACTGCTGCTCCTGCACAAGCCACATTATCAGGCTAGAAAGGCAAATTACAGACTACAGGCATCCTGAAAAGCCTATTGTGGGGGTGTGCGGATGGAAAAGAGAAAATTCCAGGAAAACCAAATTTTGGTTACTGTTGTTCATAGATAGTCAACTTCCTGGCTTTGGCAGTAGACAGCACAGCAATATTAAAAAAAGGAAATTCCTTCAGAGTAAAAATAAATAAATAAAAAACCTGATGGTTTCTAGGCTTCCAGGATCTCAGACCAGCAATGTTATTCTTTGCTGAATCATAAAAGTGTCTCATTTTTCTGGTATGATGATGATGAATTAAAAAGAGTCACCAGCAGCTGGAGCTTTTAAAGGAGCAACGTAGATGCTAGATCCTCAGCTGATGGTCAGCTGGGCTTAGGAATCACAGTTAAAGCCATTGATCAGGCTGGTTATTCAACACCTTCTGCCAGCTCTTCTCTGGAGCAGAGGTTTCAGCTGCCAATGTCACTTTGCATCCGCACTGGGCCTGGTCCTCAAGGATGTCAATGGATCAGTAGCTTTTCTATACTGCTTTCTTGTGTCATGTATTTTATATCTGTGTTTCATCCTATTTTGATCTACCATGAGCTGAGCCATCTTCTTTCTTGGTCATACTGCAACCACAGCATCATCAATGACATCAAAATAAAACTGCTCGAGATACACGAAGGACCCGAAAATGAAATCCAGTGAGCAAGTAACTATATAATTTGGTCTAGGAAATCCCCAAAGCAAAATGAAAAGCAGGTACCATTTTGTGCATGTCAGAGAACGCGATGTTTTGCCCTTGCTGTTTTAGAGTTTCGAAGCACTTCATAAATGCTCAATCTGTTCTATTTCGCATCCAGTTTCCCCCAAGTAGAGGGATGCAGCAGGGAAGAACAGGGGGTCTGGCCCACATGGGCCAGCAAATTGTGCTTGGGTGCTGTCCAGAAGTCCTCGTCCT